AGCTCTCTCAGCCCCACCTGCCTCCCAGGGTGTCTGATGCGGGGAGGGGAAGGGAAAGGAGTTTGTGAGCCGCTCTGAGACGCCTTCAGGTAGTGAAGGGCCATGGGGTATAAACCCAATCTCTTCTCTTTTTCTTCTTCTAAGTGGCTGGCCCAGCTATGACTCAGAACATCAGAAAAGCCACGTTGGATCAGGTCTGTGGCCCCTCCCGTCCAAGCCTCTATGACACTCGGTGGCCAAAGCCCAGGGGCCCATCAGGAGGTCCTCCGGCGGGGCCAGACTCCAGTGATTCTCCCCTAACCAGTGTCCCCTCTAAGCTGAGTTAGTGTGAGCTAGCTCACAGTTTTTTAGCCTCCAGCTCACAGATTTTTGTCTCCGCTCGGGAAGGGATGGCTCCGGGGCAGACTAATTTACGCAGCAGCCAAATGGCTCGCTCAGAGTTTTAAGGCCGGTAACCTGGAGCTGCGGTGGCTCAAGTGGTTAAGACGCTGAACTGCAGGCTGTGGAAGGTCAGTAGTTCAGCGGTTCAAGACCCGGGTGCCGCAAGACGGGGTGAGCTCCCATCTCTAGTTCCAGCTCCTGCCAACCTAGCAGTTCGAAAGCAAGAAATTGCAAGTAGATAAATAGGGACCACTTTGGTGGGAAGGTAACAGCGTTCCGTGCGCCTCGGTGTTTAGTCATGCCGGCCACATGACCACGGAAACGTCTTCGGACAGCGCTGGCTCTTCGGCTTTGAAACGGAGATGAGCACCGCAACCCTAGAGTCGGACTCGACTGGCTTTCGAGCAAGGGAACCTTTACCTTTTTAAGCTCACAAAGTAGAATTTCTGCTCACGAGACTCTACAGCTTAGAGGGAACATTGCCAGCCCTAACCCTCCAGGGAACACCTTTTTACCCTCCCCCTTTAAACCCTTCCCTCTTTCGCGATCCAAGTCGCGGCCAGTTCGATGCAAAACCCGCCCGGCAAGCGGCGTCCAGAGCTGCAGCTGGGCCCGCGGGCAGCCTCTGCTGTCGCGGCCGGTGGCTTCCCTTCCAAATACCGACCGGGGCCCGAGGCCCTGTTCGGCTTCCCAGCTCTGACCAGCGTGGGCGAGCCCCGGGCCCATCCTGGAATCTCCACCCCGGATTAGCCTTAAACGTCCCGTTGCCAGAGCGACGCGGAGCGTCACATCCTGGCGACGGCGGGTGCAGCACGTGCAGCCGTCCCCCCGCCGGAATTTGGTAAGCCTACCTCCTCCTCGCGAGCCCAGCCGGTCGGGGCGCCTCGTGGGTTTGGCGCGACGCGCCGGGCAAGGACTGCGGCGGCTGGCGGGGCTTCCCCGGCCCTGGGCGGGCACAGGCACACGGCCTCCCACCCCACCCCGGAGGGATCTTGCCCGCTCTCTTCCCTGCCTGCCGGCGGAGCCCCAGCACAGGTCCCGGCGGGTCGGTAGTCTGCAGGCGGGCAGGGAAGCGGGGGAAAGGCGTCCTCTGGATTCCGTCGCGGTCCCGACCAATGCTCCCTCTAAGCTGTGGGGGTCTTGTGAGCCACAGGCCGCTAGTAGGCTTGCAGACTTTGGGCCTGAGCCATTTTGAAATGAATGAACCATGCTAAAATAGCATAGAGTACAGCAGTTTGCAGCTTGCTCTCGCTTTAGTATTGGGTGTATTTGAAATTTTGCTTGTAGACAACTGAGCATTTATACCTTTAAATTCCATAAATATGCCAATTAAGAAGAAGAGATTGGATTTATACCCCGCCCTTCACTATCCAAGGGAGTCTCAGAGCGGTTTACAGTCTCCTTTCCCTTCCTCTCCCCACAACAGACACCCTGTGAGGCAGGCGGGGCTGAGAGACCTTTGACAGAAACTGCTCTTTTTCAAGAACACATGGAATTCACTGCCACAGGAGGTGGAGGCGGCTACAAGCATGGATGGCTTCAAAAGGGAATTAGATAAGCATTTGGAGCAGAGGTCCATCAGTGGCTATTAGCCACAAGGTATAGATAGGGGCTCTGGGGCAAGTGATGCTCTGTCTTCTTGGTGTTTTTTTGGGGGGGGGTCAACAGTGGGAGGGCTTCTAATGTCCTGGCCCCACTGGTGGACCTCCGGATGGCACCTGGTATTTTTGGCCACTGTGTGACAGAGTGTTGGACTAGATGGCCAATTGGCCTGATCAAACATTGGCTTCTCTTATGCTCTTATAGGAACTCTCGGTCTAGGGCCAAGTGATGCTCTGTATTCTTGGTGCTGGGGGGGGGGCAACAGTGGGAGGGCTTCTAGTGTCCTGGCCCCACTGGTGAACCTCCTGATGGCACTGGTATTTCTGGCCACTGTGTGACACAGAGTGTTGGACCGGATGGGCCTTTGGCCTGATCTAACATTGGCGTCTCTTATGTTCTTATTCTACTTTGTGAGCTACGGGCATTAAAGCTGTGAGTGAGCAATGTGGCTGCTGCATAAATCGGTTTCCTCTGGAGCCATCCTTCCTGAGCTAGGATAAAAATATGTGAGCCGGAGGATAAAAAACTGTGAGCTAGCTCACACTAACTCAGCTTAGAGGGAACACTGGTCCCGACCCTCTGCGTGTCTGCTTGGAGGGAAGCGGAACGGATTCGCGGGTGCTTCCAGGCGGGCCGCGTGGCGCGCTGAGCACGGCTGCCGTCACACGCACTCTCAGCCTGGGCATTTCCCAACTGGGTTTGGCCCGTTCACACCATAGAATCCAGTTGGGAAGGGCACTGGGCGTGGGTTCTTGAGTGTGCGTGAGCCCAAGCGGGCGGAGAGCAGCGCTGTTCGGCAGAGGGCTCACGAGGTCGTAACCAATGCTCCCTCTAAGCTGTGGAGTCTTGTGAGCAGAAATCCTACTTTGTGAGCGGCTGGCATTAAAGTTGTGAGCGAGCAATTTGGCTACTGCATACATTAGTGTGCTCTGGAGCCATCGTTCCTGAGCTAAGACAAAAATGTGTGAGCCGGAGGCTAAAAAACGGTGAGCTAGCTCACACTCACTCAGCTTAGAGGGAACACTGGTCGTAACTCTGCCGATAGATCGCCTCGGGCCAGCTCCTGGCAACGCAACGGGGTGCCCTCCGGCTTGGAGTGGCCTTCCTGCCTAAAGGAGTCCAGGGGCGCCTTTACGCCCCTGCTTGAGTGCACACAGAAGCTCATACCCAGAACGAAACTTTTTTGGTCGTCAAGGTGCCCTGGACTCAAACCTTGTTTTTCTGCTTCAGACCCCCCCCCCACCCCCCAGTCTTTCTGCCTCAGTGTACCTGAGATCAGGAGGCAGCTGGAGTTTCTGCCTCTGGTTCACTCATTTTGAAGGCCTTTTGGCACCTTTCCTTTCTTGTTGCTTTTCTCCTTGCGCTGCCACTGAAGACCTGCCACACAACACGTGTCCTTCTGCTGACATTTATTTTTGTTTCTTGTTCTCTAGGGTTAATGTCCACGTTCGTGATGAGAGACAGATAAGTACCGTGCGGTGGCCTCCTTGCTGCAGGAAGAGTCTCCTTGAGGCGTTTGGCCCTGAGGGCTGTTATCTTTCCGTGTGCTTTTCTTACAAACTGTGGGTTACCCCTTCACAAGGCCTTGTTCAGAAATGGCCAGTTTAGCCAACAAAGACTCTTATTTACAGCAACTGGCTAAGAAGATTTGCGCCCAGGAAGTGCAGGAGCCACGAAAAAGAAAATTCGGTACAGTTTCTGAGATTCACATTGGTCTTCATGGATGTTGTATTACCAAATGTGCTGCCTCTTAGGCTGTAAGCTCCTCTAGGCACAAGTGGTTATACTGCAACTTGGGACAAATGAATTTCTTTGGCCTTCAAGCTCATTTCCAGCAAACACAGTTGCACAGTGCCCTCTGGAAACAGAGCTGTTGCTCCAAAACTGGGTGATTTGTGGAATTCTGAAGCTGCTGTGACATCGAGGATCATGAGGGCTAGCCACTTGAATTCTTCCTGAGTGAATATTTATTCATTCATAGGCTTATTTGCTGCCCTTCTTTTTAAAGAAAAGCATCTCGTGGTGAGGTTCACAGGAATTGTGTGCTCATTGGGATGAGCTGAGTGGCTCAAAATTTGTTTGTGATCCGCCCTGAGCCCGCTCGCAGGGAGGGCAGAATATAATTTGATAGAAATACATAAGTATATATATCTTTCACATTTAAAAAAACCTGTCTCAGAAAGCAGATTTAAGGAAAACTCCTCCTCCAGGTAATTCCCACTCTCGTTGGTGTGAAACTCTTTGAAATTATAGTAAATTAATTTGTCCAGAATTTGGGGCATTTATTTCTGCATTTAATGCAAGTATATACCACTCTTTCTCTTTAGTTGCCAAAAAATAGTTTGTAGTTTAATTCCAAAAAAACAGCAAGCGACAGACAATTGTCTTGGGCATTTGGCTGTTTTGGGTAGTCTAAGCAGCCTGGTCCAGTTGGTCTCCTGTCTTCTTTTCAGGGCACAGGGAAAGGGCCACCCCGATCGGTGGAGGTCTTCTGGGCTGTTGGGGGGTCCCTTTAGTCCTGGAGGCAGATTCTCCCTGTCCTGTCCTTCCTGGCATGCCAGAGACAGGCTTAGATTGTTTCCCTCGCAGGAAATGCAACTCACTTCTCTGCCTTCCCACTTCCCCAGGACCTGGGTCAGGGGAGGACGATGCTCAGCCGAAGAAGAAGAAGAAAAGAAAGAAGTTGAAGCAGCAGGCCCAGGGCGTGGGAGGTGCCCCTCCGGGCAAGCCGGCAGTCACTGACGCCTTCAGAGCACAGGCTAAGCCAACAGCAGCGAATGCCAAGAAGTCAGGGCCTGGGGTCAGTGTTGCATCCGGTGCCCGCAGGCCGGCTGCTGCTGGGGGGAATGGGAGCGGAGCCCAGAATGGCATTACAGGTGAGGATGGTTCCGTAGTGAGCAAGAGCAGGGAGTGGGCTGGTGGGACAGGAAAAAACGCAGAGCCATGGTGGGAGCTGTGCAGATGGGGTCAGGCTGGATTCTCCGTGGTCATCGGGGCTGTATTATTTGTTTAGAGTGTTTTCACCCCATGTTTCTCCCTGGCGGGGACCCCTAAGAACTTACAGAATGCACAAGAAGAAAAAACACAGTACGATACACCACGTTCTGGGCTAGTCCTGGATCTCCTTTTCTGGTTCCCTCCAGGCCTCAGCTTCAAGCCGTGGGCCACAAAACATGCGCAAGAGCCCTTTGGCTTGTGCCTCTGGCCGTGCCCATGGAGGAGAAACAGAAGCTCAGCTCCGATCTCATCCAGTTGGCGAAGAACTGTTCCTCAGCCATGCCCCCCCCCCCCAAGTACACATCTCTCTGTTTTCTTCCATTCAGTGCATGGGGGAGGGACTGGAAGAGAGACAAACAGGGTGTTGGGGGTGGAGAGAAGATCAGGGCAATACTGGGGAGAAAGTACTGGTGGGTGGGAATGCAAAACAGGATTGCACTTCCCATCGACTGGTCTTCTGTGCAGGCACGCATCCCTGCCTTCTGCACCCCTAGAGCCTTAGTTTCTGGGGCTCTCTGGCAGCCGCGTGGAGAGAACTAAGGGAGTAGCGCCCCTCCTCCTGGTCATGAGATCGTCATGAGAAAGCACCAGAGGGAGGAGGACGCTCCTTGTCTGCTAGAAAGCTTTGGAAGTCACAGCAAACCTGCGGCTAATGGGACGCGATGCCCTAGAATTTTCACGGGCCTTTTGCTAGTCCATCATACTCAGCATTTCCTTAAGTGAATTTTGGAGTGTGTTATACATGCTGTCTTGACTTGGTGCTGGAGCAGAAAATGCCACCTGTCGCCATCCGCAGCATGGTTGGTGAAGGATTTGATGCTGGAGGTGGGGTGGGAATTCCGCTGCAAGATGAGCTGAATTCTATTATTGTTTATGGAAATGGAGCCGACTTGTGTGTCCGAGTATACAATTGTACTCTGGCATAATTTATCCAGATTTGTGCAAAGAGCTATGCAGGATGTTGAAAGTGCTGCTTCTCTCTCCCCTCCTTAAATACATCTTATCAACCATCCTGCTAGCTTCTGAGAGTTTAGTAGGGATTGGTCGTGTACAAACAAGCATATTGTTGTAACCACAGGGACTAGAAACTTGCTTTTTTTTGGGGGGGGAAGAGCTGAGATTATCAGGAAACTGAACAGACACCTTTTGCTCTTTGCCTCTGGGACGGCACTATGGGCCTAGCCCTGACCCTGAGGTGCACATCCACATGTGTCCCCTTTCTGCGCAAGGTCCTGTGCTGTGCTGTGCATGGGAGAAACACCACCTCTGCTTTGGTTGGGTTTTTTTTCTCCTGAAGAGCTGGAAGTGCACACCCTGGTTTCCAGCTCCCCGAGTCCATGAACTCCATGCTGGGTGAACTGGAAGACTTGCAGGAAGGAGTAGTGGGACAATGTGCTTCTTTAGACAGGTGCAGGACTGGGTTTCTGGTACCCCAAGATCCTTAGCTGTCTTCTTCACTTTCCACAGTAGACTTCTTGTTTTGGCTGAAGGACAGGCAGTGTCTGGTGTCAGACAAGCAGAACCTGCCCTTTCTTGGTTTTACCGCTGCCTCCTGTCTTTTTGCTTAAAGAGTCTCCGCCCTTCTTTTTCCATGCAGGTAGCCAGAGCAGGCCCGATTCCTTCTCCACCATGACTCTGTTGCGTCAGAGGTTGCATGAGAAAATACAAGAAGTCTCGGGTCAGGTATGGTCTGCACCGTTGTTAAAATAATGGTTCTCAAAGGATGGTGAAGGGCCTGATGGTTAAACCAGTTTAGATGCGTGGTTCTGGACCTCTCCCCACCAGTCTTTATCCTAGGAATTCTGTACCACTTTGCTGCTTTCTGTCTACTATGTGGATCCTAACTGAAACATTCCAAACCCTGCACAAGGATAGGTTTTGCAACTGAGATAAACTAAAGAAGGTTTTGTTGCAACCAATGTTCCCTCTAAGGTGTGGAGTCTTGTGAGCAGAAATCCTACTTTGTGAGCGGCTGGCATTAAAGTTGTGAGCGAGCAATTTGGCTACTGCATACATTAGTGTGCTCTGGAGCCATACTTCCTGAGCTAAGACAAAAATGTGTGAGCCGGAGGCTAAAAAACGGTGAGCTAGCTCACACTCACTCAGCTTAGAGGGAACACTGGTTGCAACATTACCTGAATTCTGAGTAGAAGATGTGATGGGAGTTGTTATAGTTCAGAACATATCTGTTTCCAGTATTCTGTGTGTAAAACACACACACCCCCAGTATGATATGAAATGCAGAATTCAACTTGCTGATGATCTTGGTTAATGTGTTTCTCCCCCTCCCTCTTTTCTCACAGCATTGCACCTCAGCTGTCAATGCATTGTCCAGAGGTTGTGCTGCATGCCTCCTTGTTTCTCTTCATTACAAGGACAGGCAGAATAAATTAGGCCAATAAGCCAAAACATGTGGATTGAGCACATTTGTGTAATTTATACACATTGTGGAGTTTAGTGTCATTCTGCAAATTTTTTTTAAAGTGCAAAGGACATGGTTTTCCCTGCCTCTTAATAGCTAAACTTTCTTCTGGTCCCATAAGTGGTTCTGCTTTCTTTTCAAGTTCCTGTTTCTTAACAGGGAAGGCCCAGACAGCTGTCACCGGCTGCACTGAAGAAGCAGCAGCGGAGGAAATACGAGAAGGAGAGAAAGAAACGCCGGAGAAAAGAATTAAGAGTGAAGGGAAAAACTGAGAAGAAAGGAGCGGGAGAGGTGTCGACAGGGGCCATTTTGGAGCTCGCGGCCCCCAAGAACGATGGCAAGTCCAACATGGCCTTCAACAAGGTTGAAGTGCACGAAGAGCAGCTGAGCAAAGCGGAGAAGAGGAAAGAGAAGAGGAAGACTGTGAAAGGCAACCTCACCCCACTGACAGGGAAGAACTACAAGCAGCTCTTGAGTCGGCTGGAGGTTCGGAAGAACAAGCTGGAAGACCTGAAGGACAAGGATGAGAAGAAGGCCCAGGAGCTGGAGACCAAGATGAGATGGACCAATGTCCTCTACAAGGCTGAAGGTGTCAAGATTCATGACGATGAGAACCGGCTGAAGAAGGCCGTTAAGCGGAAAGAGCAGCGCAAGACCCAGCGCCAGAAGCAGTGGGAAAAGCGGACTGAGCAAGTGGTGGAGAAGATGCAGCAGCGCCAGGACAAGCGCCGCAAGAACCTCCAGAAGAAGAAGCTGGCCAAGATGGAGCGGAAGAAGAGCAAGGCCCGCAAGAGGGGCCGTGTCTTGCCTGAGGATCTAGAAAAAGCTGGCTCCAAATGAGCCAGACTTAGTGGATGGTTTCACCTGCTTCGGATGAACTGAGTTTAGCGGATGTCTTTATTTGTTCCAAAGTGGATTATTGAGGGACCTGTTAATAAAACTACTGTCTGTAATGTCTTCGATGTTGTTTATATTTTGGACCCAAACCTCCTTGGCTATGATTCAGCAGAATACAGAACTATACAAGCATGTATTCCTCACTGTCCAACTGGGGAGGGGAACACCAGACAAACTTTCCTGTTTGTGTGATTCCTCATCCTGCTACAGTGTTAAAAAACACAAGCCTGGTTTTACCATTAGCCACTTAATAGGGTACGTGTGTCAAATTTCCTATGGAGGGGTTTTTTACATTTTTTTTTGAAGAAGCAACTTTACCAGACTAGGGCAGTGGGGAAGGAGGAGGGGAATGAATATAGTTACTAGACCAGTTTGGTGTAGTGGTTAAGAGGGGCAGACTCTAATCTGGAGAACTGGGTTTGATTCCCCACTCCTCCATATGCAGCCAGCTGGGTGACCTTGGGTCAGTCGCAGTTCTCTCAAGAGCAGTTCTCTCAGAGCTCTCTCAGCCCCACCTACCTCACAGGGTGTCCTGTTGTGAGGAGAGGAAGGGAAGGAGATAAGCTGCTCTGAAATTCCGAGTGAAAGACGAGGTATAAATCCAACTCTTATTCTTCTTCGTTAGTAATTGGTGAGAGAAGAGTGAGGTTTTTGTTTATTAAAACCATTTCTCGACCACCAATTTATACAATACCAAGAATTATTGCCAAAGAAGGCAAAGATAAACCAATAAATAAAACATGCAAAAACACTAGCGATGAGGTTTTGACAGTGTTCACAAGCCTGCCTGGGCTCCCCAAATTCGTTTCCCTCAAATTAATTCGAGCCGTCAACCAAGATGTCTTGCATCCCTTACTAAACTGAAGGAAGGATGGCAACCCCTTTCCTGATCTCTTCTAGAAGAAAGTTCCAAGAAATCCCCTTTGCTTCCTCCCCTGGATTGCACCTGGTGAATAGACGGGACATTGAATCAAACCTGTTGTCCAGCTCTCCATTGGGGCTGAGGGTGTAGAGGTGGCCCTGCAGGTCTGTAGGTGTCAGGGCTTGAAGAATTATCCAAGTAAGTGCCAGCCTTTTAGACTGAACTCAAAAAATTGGCAGCCAGTGAGTATGTTCAAAGCAGCTGTCAGTGAAGAAAGACAATCTAGTGCTTAGTGGGCACTAGGTGCAGTACACTGTTGTTTAAAGTAATATTTATAAAATGAGACGCTCAGATTCATGAAGGAAAACCCTGTGACCAGCAGAGTTAAAGGGCCATGAAATGCTCATTCGGTGCCATTTCAGTGCAAGCATAAATGTAAACAGGATAAGGCAAGTGGCCGTTCACAACAGCAGTAATCACTGATGTCACAACTTCCTACACTGGGGAATTAATTCAGCTAGGATCTGTTGAAACCCCAGCAGAAACCTCACTGTCAGAATCAGGGTCCAGCAAAAATACTAGGCTCCAGAAGCAGACTAAATCTTAAGATTTCCTGTGTCCCATGTTCTCATTTGGTAAAAGCTGCTAGAAATGTCAGAAGCTGAAAGAAAAATAGGAATCCTGAAATAAGATGGTGTATCCCCAGACTGTGTCGTGAGACGTTCTGTGCCGTTTCTTGAAAGATCCTATTCCAATCCTGTGTGCCTAATTTTTGTAGTTAAAATCCTGGCATGTAAAACAACAGGCTACACAGCTCAAAAGCATCCCGCCTGTGCTCAGCGGCGTCGTTTCCTCATGTCATGGCAGTTGTATAATGGTCCCGGTCACACGAGCGGGATGATCTGCTGCCAAAGGGAGGCAAATTAGAGCCAGAGCAAAAAGAACCGCGGGAGTGTGATCCGACGTGCCGCCGCAGCTCCGTGCTCCGGCAGCCGATTACACGTTGTGCAGCAAACCGGCAGTAACACGGTTGTGCGCATGCATGGGACGGGGAATGGCGCTGGCTGCGACGGGCTACCAGCGCTTCCCCGACCAGACGCCTGGAGTTGCCGCGCATCATCCGGAAGGTAGTGCTCAAAAGGTAGTACCTTTTAAATGTGAGTTTTCGGGCCAAAGGGCCGGATCGGGGATGGGTGCGTGACGCTTCCCAGATGTTGCAGTGTGATCGTGCCCACTTGATGCACCCCCGATCCGTCCCTCTTGCGGGGCAAATCCTCCCATGTGACTGGGACCAATGTGTACTTCATATTAAACAAGGAAGGAATACTTATTTTGCCACGCCCTAAAAGATTCTGTGATTCCTCACTGCTTTTTGTACTTGATAGCTAGCCAGTGACAGCTGCCATAGCCCAAAGGTGGACCATATGTGTTCTATTTATTTATTTATTTATTACTTCAATTTGATATACCACCCTAACCCCCATGGGGGTCTCTGGGTGGTTTACATGTGGGGTGCTAGTCACATTTGAACCCTAAGGCAACATTGATTCTATGGGTGGGGCTGCCTACCGGCACCCAGGTGGAAGCTGATGTCTCTTCGGCTTGGCTGTTCTTCTTCTTTTTTTTTCCGGCTCCATTCTCGGCAGCTAGCTGTTCTTTTCCTGGCGCTTAGGCAGTCAGGCGGTCTGATACACAGGTGACGTCCTTCTCCAGTCTGGCTACGTCCTTCAGGCTCCGCTGCGCATTTGGGTGACGTTGCTGTGCCTCCGCCTCTGCTGACGACAACCACCTGCTGTTTCTGCCGCTGGCCACCAGGGATCACTCCTTTCTGGCTCTGCTGCTACTGCTCACTGCCGCCTCGACGCCATGCCGCTACCTCTGGTATGCTGCTGCAGCTGATGTCCTGCTGCAGCCGCCGCCGCAGCCGCCGTTGCCTTCCACGCACCTCCGTAGAGGAGGGTGCCCCCTACCCTTCTAAGGTTCCCATTTATCTACTCGCCATCAGTTACTTCAGCTTCCGAACCGCTGGGTGGGCGGAAGCTAGGACTAGGGTCGAGAGCTCACCCCGACCGCGGTGGGACTCAAACAGCCATAGTGGCTGCTCTAGTGTTGTTAAAGCAGGCGTTTTACAGCCTGCGCCACCGCTCACTGAGGCATCCTTAACAGAAAATGCCCTCCATGTATCAGAATCTGATGATTGCCTGTTTTTGTTGTTCAGTGCAACAAAACCAGCTTTTGTGTGCTGGGCAGTTTTTGACAGGAAAGTGGTTTTGGTTGCCCAGAGTGGGGCAGAATCTGACAGGAGGACGGTGTTGTCGTGATGCAGGCCGAGGCCCTTCTCGCCTGCGCTGCACGAGATCCTTCAGTTATGGATGGTGCAGGTTGAACCTTGACTGTGGTACATGAAGCGAGAATCTTCTGTACGGAGCATTTTTATGCCTCCCAAAATTTCTCATTACGTGGCAGACTGCTTGCTGAATTAGGGGAGGACGGTTGGGTAGAATGACGACATGTATTTCTGGACACTTTAGGTCAGATATGTCTTGGGATGAATTTGAAGAACGTGGAGGACCAATGTGGGCCAGGCGTCAGGAGCATCATTCTGGGTGGGGGAACTGGCTGATGACTCCGAGCTATCCAGAGACCTTCCCCAGAGTCGATGGGAAATGGACATTTTCCCAGTGGGAGGGGCTGCTGCTGACCAGTAGTGAAGTGTCAGAGTATTGTGGTCTGCTCCCTCTTCTGCGATGGGGACCACCTTTCTTGAGAGGCCCTGTGTGCCTTTGAGGAGGGTGGGGAGATCTAGGCCGGTGGGTCGATTCTGGAGAGGGGAGGGTACAGGAAAGGAAGGAGATTGGAAGCCACTCTGAGACTCCGAGTAAGGGCGGGGTATAAACAGCGGTCATTAAGTAGAAAAAGAGCTAGGGGAACTCATTAGTATAACTCATTAGCATATGCCACACACCCTGACATCACTGGAAGTGTGTCATAAGGCCACACCCCCTGGCATCACCGGAAGTGTGTCATAAGGCCACACACCCCGCCCCCAACGGTCTCGGCCGCTGGCGGCGGCCTTGCAGCTCCACTGCCGAGCCCCATGAGGGGCCCGGCAGTGGGCCTGCAAGGCCGGCGGGAATGCAAGGAAGCCCCGCGAAGGCCCTCCCTGGCCCCAGGCAGGCAGGGGTGGGGAGAGGCAGGGAGGAAGCAACTTACCCTCCCTCTTCTCCTGCCTCCTCCTGGCTGAATGAGGGCCGGAAGTGGGGCGGCCGGAAGCAAGGGGCAGGGCTTCGTCGTGTGCCCCGCCCCCTCACACCTCACCCGGGGGAACTGCGATCCCCCGCGATCCCCCCCCGAAATGACCTCTGCATACAATCATACAATCATACAATCATACAATCACAGAGTTGGAAGAGGCCTCACAGGCCATCTAGTCCAACCCCTTGCTCAATGCTGGATCAGCCTACAGTATCAATACGATTCTGTCAGGCTCATTCTAGCTATGAGAGTAAAAGGAGGAACTGCTGCCTCGGATATGCCTTACCTCAGGAAATGTGAGATTACCCAGGAGACTGTTTTTGTCATCCCACTGAGTTGAAGTCCCACTTTGGAATGAGAGAAGTGCAGGAGGCAGTGGGGTTCAGGCACAGAGATGCTCTCGTCTGACATGGCAAGTCTTGCTCTGGTCATCCCCATGATCCAAACGGCTTATGAGGACTTGGCCTCCGCCAGAAGCAGGACATGCAGACATGGTTTCAGGGGTGCGCACACTGGTGAAAAGGCTGCAAGGTGGATTCTAGGCTCACCTTCAGCCTCTCACACAGCAGAAGGTTTACATGTTGGTGACCATGTGTGACCCATGCATGAAGTACAAGATCGCCAAGCGGGCCAATGAGCTCATTCGCTGGAGAGACGAGGTCTTGTTAGCCAAATTGCCATATTTCATTATTAATATGGGGGAATTGTGATTATTAAATGGTAATAGGTATATAAGGGAGCAATAACCTATGTATACAGGAGTCCCACTGCAGTAACCCAGAGATAAACGCAGAGACCAGATCTTAAAGAAATGGTTTCTTTACTGAGAAGTTTCCACAAGCATACAATATATTCAGGCACACACGCAATTACACAGATCTAAGAAATGGAGATGGAAAGGTATAGTGACA